TGTCCATCTCCTCTCCTGAATCTTGTAATTCCACTGGAAACAAAGGAAATGGTCAGCCTTGGGAAAAGATAAACTAAACATCTGGGCAAGAGAAAAGGTCACCTACCAAAAGGACCACAGTCAAGACCTTCCTCAGGAATGTCCTTCAGCTGGTCAGGCTGATGCCCCCCGGGGATGTCCCTCAGTAGGTCGGGTTGGTGGCGAAGCTCATCCTGGACAAACTCGAACCCCAACCCGGAAAGGGTTTCCTCTGTCACCACCTCTTTGATGTTCATAACTCCCTTATTGCAGAATTGGCGAGTGATAGACAAAAGGGTGGCATCAGGTGGGGGGCGTGGGATGCGACGGAAGGAAGGGCGCCCTGAACCCGTGAAAGGAGATTCGGGCCCCGTAGAAACGAAGACAAAGAAAGGCTTCCAGTCTTTGGTTGACCCCTTCTTATCACTAGCAAAGAGTTTACTGGACCTCTGGGAAAGACTGGCATAGGACGCCCAATCTCTATGGCCCTTGGTCAGTTTGAAGGTGAATATGAAATGGTCCAAGGTCGGCTTCACCCCTACATCTTTGCACTGGACCAGGTAACCGACGATGTACCGGTGAGAGTTGGGGACCAGTTGGCACGGGAGAAGGTCCACCACGTTGAGGAATTTGATCAACAACGGGTGGAGTGGGAAGCGCAGCCCCTTCTTCAAAGACGCCAGATGGACCGTGAAGAACCCCGACGGTGCGTCTAGAGCAGTTTGAGTACGGGTAGGTCTCATGACCTCGATGGAGGGTCCAACCATGTCAGTGGCATCGGTGAACCCCCGGTTAGTAATTTGACAATGGCACAACGCCATGATGTTTTCGTCCAATTTAACCCTTGAGCCCTCATCTACCGGAGTTGAGGAAGGGTATTGCTTCCTCAATCGACGCCGTTTGTGCCCAGGCACGGCCGACGACGACGGCCGGGGTGATGGAGTGTGGCCGGGGTTACGGTCATAGGCCGATTGACCGGCTTGGCGAGAATTGGACGATGGGGTAGCCGAATCGGAATCTGAGACAATCATGGCGGCGAGAGAAGGAACTGACCTGGACAGGAAGAAGAATGAGTCGGGTGAGCAGCGGAGTTGCAGACGAACGGTGGGGAAGAAGGCGAAAGGAAGAGATGGCGTCCAGCGGCGGTTTTTAACTGACAACAGGAAGGCGAATCGGCAGGCCATGATTACTTATTTGTGGAGATCGTGCCCAAGTGTCGTGCGGAACCCAAGGAACGGCCCGGATCCCCGCTGGAGCATCCACGTGGACTTTGCAAACTCCCCACTCCTCCGCTTGGCCCAGCTGAGGACTAAGGAGTTGGGGGGCTTATAATGGGCCGATATCCAGAGGACGGCCCAAATGAACCATTTAAACAACTTCGGGTCAAGCACCTGTGAAATACTCAAGCTGGGCCGGCCCAAGGAGCTGGGCCTAGTTAACCTCAGGCCAAGCGCAGCTGGCAGAGTCAGTCCGGAGAAGGAGACGGAGCTGATTGACCGTTACGGAGCCGGGAAAAGGGGATCGCGCCCTTGGCGGGCTAGACTCCATCGGTTATGCTTCACCTTAATTGTTTAGAGCTCATGTATAAATAGAGGGGACCCGAAAGGGGAGAACTCAAGCTAAATCAAGCTAGTAATACACATCCAATTCTCGAATTCTTGTTCTTAATTTTGTTCTTACGATCCGCT